GTCATTTACGCGTATTAATTTAATTAAACTTTCCTAATACGTGATAACTCTTAAAATAGTAGCCTATTTTCCAACATGGGTCATAAGCTATCACTGTGCGAAATGCCATGCAAATTTGTTCAGTCGTTTCCGCGTATTAATTTAATTAAAACTTTTTTAACAGGTGGCAACTCTTCCAAAAAATTAGCCTATTTTCCACTGTAGGTCATAAGCTATCTGCTTGCAAAATTTCATGCAAATCCGTTCAGACTTTTCCGCGTATTAATTTAATTGAACTTTTTAGCAGGTGGTAACTCTTAAAAAAAGTAGCCTATTTTTCAACCTAGCTCATAAGCTATCTGTGTGAAAACTTCCATGCAAATCAGTTCACTCATTTCCTCGTATTAATTAAATTAAACATTTCTAACAGGTGGCAACTCTTAAAAGAAGTAGCCTACTTTCTAACATAGGTCATAAGCTATCTGTGTGCAAAATTTCATGCAAATCCGTTTAGTCGTTCCCGTATATTAAATGAATTAAACTTTTTTAACAGGTGGCAACTCTTAAGAAAATAGCCTATTAACCAATCTGGCCCATAGGCTATCTTCTTACAAAATTTCATGCAAATCCGTTCAGTCGTTTCCGCGTATTAATTTAATGAAACTTTTTTAACAGGTGGCAACTCTTAAGAAAATAGCCTATTAACCAATCTGGCCCATAGGCGATAGGATTTCATGCAAATCCGTTCAGTCGTTTCCGTGTGATGATTTCCCAAACATCCAAACATACAAACTTTCTTCGCTTTATAATATTACTTAGTAAGATTACATATTCTGAATGCTTATTATTTATTTTTGAGACGTACAAAATTCAAAAATTATACTAGCGAGTACTGTCGTCTATTTGACTTATTTGTATAGTGTCAGGCATTGGTGCTAATAATTTTATAATATTTTATTATTTTTATAATTATCTGGAATTATGGGAGAGATATATTTTTGTGCAAGAATTCAATGTACAGTTGGTGTACCACTATAACCAATGTCAATGACACTTCTTTTTGAAACCAATAATAACCGTTCATTTAACTTATTCCTAATTTTTTCTAAAATAAAATAAAAACAAATAAAAGTATATAACAAATAACTAAGTGACCATGAAGTCAAGGTGCAGGAATGGTATTTTCAGAGATAATAGTCGAGAGTTCTAGCTTTAATTTAAGCCAGAAAGGTTCTATCACCTCTTGTTTCTTTGCTAGAGCTTCTAATATATTGCGAAAAACTAGATTTTTTACACTTTGACCTCGCTTTCTTTCAAAATCTGGAGCTGATGGAAACTTTACGCTTACGGATTCGTAATCAGGACAAGAAAGTCTATCAAAAACAGCTTTAACATTTGCTGTACCAAAATTTGTTTCTATTTTCGGTGGGCTGTGTTATCCAATAAAAATGAGCAAAAATTCATATTTCCGTTTTTTTCTACAGAAATTTTTCCATATGTGGTCCATAATACCCTTCGCTACCCTAGTTAGTTATAGTTTTACAAAATAATTTAATGAATATCATCACGCATGTGCGGGCATGGGCAGGGAACGAGCACACAATTTTTATCTATGCCTCGGTGAATTGCATGTGACTTTTCTTGGAGATACGCTGAATTATATCCAAAATTATATAAAACAATTATATTCTTAGTTGTTACGAATGACTTTATATAAAACTTCCCCAAAGGGAACGCTTGCGGCCAGCTCTGTGTTTAATATAAACTGAATAATAGTATATTTAGATATAAATATATTCTCAACGAAAGCTCGTTTATTAATCACCGCGTTTATTCAGAAAAATCTCAGTTTATTAGCTGTCGAATATGCTGTGTTTGTTATTCTCACATCTCAAGGAAAAGCTAAGTTTCTTCTCTGTGCTCCGTGATCATTTTTCTGCTATATTAAGCAATTTGAATATATTTTAATTTAATGTTTTATTAAAAATACCTTTACAAATCTCTTTTTTTCTTGCTGGCGTCCGTTTTTGATTACTTTTACATTTGGGATTTGCCCTCTTCTTCGCAAAAATAATCGATAAAACTAGGTAGGGAGTTAAGCTCGAAAATAAAGATAATCTACTTATATGTAAACCTTCGTCTTCTTCTTATTTGGCGCTGTAACCGCCTAAGCGATTTTGGCCGAGTTCAACAAAGCACGCCAGTCGTTTCTTTTCTGTGCCAACTGACCCCAATTGAAAATTCCAAGTGAAGCCAAGTCCTATCGATGTCTCCAGAATGCAAAAATCAGAATAACCAAATAAAATTAAAATAAATAACCATCAATTAAGAACTTTGTACGAGGACTCACATTGATCCCTAATTTTATTCAATAAATAAATCGGCCTAAGAGTTTTCCACACGATCTACTTATGTACATACAATAATAAAGATGTGTTAACAACATCATTATAACCCACAGCGTTTTAGAATTTCAAACACCGTACCCTTTTACTTATTCACTCCATAGCGCATATGCTGCAAAGTGCAGTATAAATTATCTTCAAACCGGAGTAGGCAAAATCCACCCCTTGTATCAGGCCATAAACTCAGATTAATGAAATCAGAACACAATCAACCAGAAGGAAAACAAAACGAGCGTGAAACAAATTAAAAAACCAGTGGAATTAAATTGAAAAGCAAACATTTAAACAAATACGATTACAACTGCATTAAATTACATCCTTCTCGCCGTAGCTGTGAAGAGCTGGCAAAAAGGGCGCATAACTTGCCTGGGATTTGTTTACTTTTCCACTTCAGTGGTTTATTGCGGGTGCAGGGGTGGTTTTATCCTTCAATTGCTTGTTATCGCGGTTGAGTTTCCTCATGACATAATTGGATAGCCCTCGACTATTCTGTGATATTGAAACAACAATAACATTACACTTAATCATTATATTTGTATAACATTTTACTTAAAGCTTCTACTTTGTGTTATGTTTTTTTTGCAGGCCGGACAAATGGATGTACCGAAGTTTGCGCTCGACCGCAGCTCGTACCTCAGCTCAGCAGCTACGGCTGGCTCCCTCTACGAGACATCGAAGGCTGCCCAGGCGAGTGCCGCCTACAGCGCCTACTTGGATCCCAGTGTACTTACAAAGGCTTACTTCGACTCGAAAATGTATCAGGATCGCGCTGCCAATTATGCCTTTGACATTTCAAAAATCTATGGCGCCCAACAACATGGCTCCTCGGCGGCCGCCGCGGCAGTGGCGCATCAACAGCAGCAACAACACTTGCTCAACGGCCTGGGCATAGCCAGTTCGCATCAGAATAATGGCAACAACAATAATAACCACTCAACAGCGAACAATAATCTGGATGAACGAGACCACACACCGCATTTAGATAGCGGCGGGGCTGGTGGTGGAGTTCCGAGTGGTATAGGGGATTCCAAGCCACATCTACACTCGCCAACGGACGCACAGCTAGATTATTCACAATATGCGCAATACGGTCAGGTGGGTGGAGCAACCGTTGGTCTTGGTGGCGGAGTCGTTACCAACGGAGGTTTAGCTGGCATTGCGTCTGGTGGCCCAGGTACTGCTGGCGCTGGTGGTGATTTTCGTCGTCCGCTCACAGTTATATTTTGACCACCATCCGTCGAGAGTGAGGAACTGAACCTGTCCATGACGAATTAGATTTACCAGTGGTTTTCTTTCTAGAGTCTTAGTACACATCTGAAACGCTACATCAGCACGCATGAATGGAGTAGATATAATACAGTAGACTCCCATACAAAAATCGACATACATATGTATGTAAGTTCCAACAACAAACGGGCATGAGCTGCAAATCTTACGATTTGAAATTGGTACGATACGTAAATCTACGAAAAACCAATCACTGAATCCGGATTGTTTTGAACATATTAGCAAATCTTACGAGTTGTTTTTTAATGTCACTAAAAAGGTACGGAAATTACTGATTTTTTATTGTCACTCGAAAAAAGTCACATTTCTTACTAATTTCGGGAAGTTTTCAAATAGAATTGCTCATGTTAGAAGGAATGAAAGTTGGCATCATATAAAACATACCTGTGAAGTTTCAAGAGTGTGTCACCAAATTATAAAAAAATGGCAGCAAGCAGAATATCTGTCGCAGCTTCATATTTTGTAATTTTTAGCATTTACCGATTTTTTTCATTTTAAAAGTTTAAGTTACTTCAAAATTTTAACATTAAAAAGTGAAAATGTTCTTCTTGCCAAAACGAACCAATCTGTAGTAATGCAACTAATGTGCAACCAAATGAGACAAAAATACATTGGTTATAAGATGATGATTTGCGAAACAAAAATTCCAAATTTGCAATTTCTATTGGCATACTCGAAATTCATTCTACGTTATTTTCGAAAATTGTAACAACTCATGAGATTTGATCATATGCATGTACATATAAAGCAACAAGTAAGAAAGTCTAAGTTCGGGCGGAGCCGAAAATTAAATACCCGGCGCAAGTATTAAATATATGTTTTTCACCTTTCCGCAAGCTATCGCTATATGTTAAGCTGGGGTGTATCAATTTTGAGTAAGTTAGCGTCCTTAAATTTCGAAATATT